TAAATATTCTCATTGATATTGTGGTATTCATTTCAGTCATATTGCTCAGCCATACATACAGACTTGTGTCATCAATAAATCAGATAATATTGGTGTTGGACTTCAACTTTATACTTTTGTTTGGTTTAATAAAATCCAAGGCAGAAATGGTGTGAGGTCATTTTTAATCCTAATAGTTTATTTCACGGAACCTTAATGTAATATCTTAATCATTTACTGTGACATTTTCGGCCACAATAATTGTAATCTGGTGCTGTCGCATCCCTCTACGTCAGTTCCATCGCAGTATGTCGCCTCCCGGTGGAGATCATGTGCAGCGATTGTGTCACTTTTCGATTTTTTTGCGATCACACGACCAACAGCCCTCGAGTCAAATTAAGAAAAGGCGCTGAATGTGAATTGTAGTCAGTGGAGCTGCTCGGCAACAACGGAAGTCCATGGTCAACACTGTGCAGAACGTTGCCCCTCAGAAAGTTGCCCCACTCACCACAACAGGCTGCAGGAAGCCGATGACGGTGCAGAAGCGACCTCTCTCCTCCACGAGGGCCCGGCGCACCGCTTGCTTCTCCGTCTCCTCCATCAGCAGACACATGTCCGTCACATCCTGCATGGCGCTGTCCAGCTGAGGCTGCAGGTCCACTCGTCCTGGGTTGGGGGGGGGTGAGAGAAAACACATTTGAGATAGAAGAGAGTGAAAAAGTCAGGTCAGAGAGAAGTCGATGGTACATAAGTATGAAGAATAAGTATGAAGGTGCAGATTGTGTAAGTGAAAGAGAGAAAAAGTGTGTTAACAGGATGTGATGGGATATATCTCGTCACCAGCCCCTGCTTCCCATAATGCACTGCTCCATCAAACCGCTGGCATACATTAGGAAATTCAGACTGAGGGATACACTTTGTTTGATGTTTCGGCTCGGTACTCGTTTTCATTTCTACGTATATTTTCATGTGATATATTATAAACGACATTAGACAGACAGCGGCCCCTATGATGACACAATGTCCTGCACTCTAAAAAAGCATGACTGAGTAATCCCATTCTGTTAAAACCTTACTCCCTGTGTCCGTGCCTCGATGACCTACATCTTTTCCTTTATTAGGCAGAAGTTATTAACAGTATGTTGTAATATTGGCTGTAATATCGCTCTCCTTTATGCTCTGAATACTGAACAGATTGGATTATGTTTAGAACAGTTTGGAGGCTATTCACTTCCAAGGTGTCAAACACAAACGCTTTTGTCTCGTCTCTCAAGCATCTGATACCGACATCCTTTATTTAGCATGTGTACGAGACGCACTAGGCTTTCAAGTAGAACTCCTATGTAAACCAATCAGAATCAGTATTAGACGCTCAGAAAAAAAGGCTCAGGAAGTGTTATGATGTATAAAGACTGAAAGTAAAAAACCACACAAGGTGAGAGAGTCAAACAAACACAGTGACACTTTGAACCAGGAGACTGTGTCTGTGTGTGTGTGTATATATATATATATATGTATGTATATAAAATTTGCGGATAGACCACCAACATGACGTTGCAATTAAATTCAACAGAAAGACAGTTCAGTCTTGTGGATACTTACATATCTATAACTCCATATGACTGCTTCAACTAATGCTCGGGCTAAATGTGCATATGAAAAGTCACCGTGTCCGACGTAAAACAAGGTAACGACATTACAGAGCCAAAACACAAATAAAGTGCTTCTGCCCTGAAACTTCACCACTCGCTGTTAATGCTTGATGACTAGAGGTGAGACATGGGTGCACACGTGTGGCGTACCAATATCTCAATCCACATCGTACTGTCAATAGAAGAAAATATGAAATGCAACGGATGGAAAGCAAGACATGAAATAAGTCTTTGTAGTGTTACAGCATGCACAGAAGTCAGCAGAGCAGTCTGCGGTAACAGAGAAAGAGCGATAGGGCCATGAGAGCAGAACGGGAGCCTGCAGTGTGACTACAAAGCTCATAGCAGAAGTCATGCAGGAGTCATGGAAGAAGTTAAGTTACATCATGCGTTTATCGGGGGTGAAACTGCACCACTCCAAACCACTACAGAAGCTCAACTCTAATCTGTCACCTGGAGACAAACCAATGCGTGAACCTTTAGGAACTGATGTGGTGCAAGTGGTTTTAAAAAAAAGTCATGGTAGCTATGGTAATAAATAAAAACAACACCGTTTTGATATCTGTTACCAAAAAATGGAGCTCAGGGCCCGAAAGCTGTGTGTTCAAAAGGTTCAACATATGACAATTAGTTTGTGGTTAATTCATTGTTGTTTTAATATGGTATGTACCCTAAAAGCACATCACAACCCTTAAATGTAAAATCATATTGATTAGAAAACAAATCCTTAAGAACGCAGTATTATTTTCTTGTCCCTAATAACTTTTTAATCATTTACAGATTCCAAAAACGTTTTTTTAGCATATTCAATGTTGAATAGACATGGGCTACTGTAACCACTTGATAACTTGCACGTACTTAACATGTTTTTTTAGTCGAGTAATCACGAATCACAATCGTAACATAAAGAACCTTTTATCCCTGTGTCTGCATTAATATATAGTTATGTATGAGTGACACAAAATGAGGCTGAACCTAGTCTAGTAGAATCTGGAGGCAACGGAACCAGATTTTGGCATCGGAAGCGTCCTGGTTTCTGTTTGTAGTCCGAGTATTATTGACCAATCGCATTGCAGAAGGCTTTGTTTGGTTCAACGCAGGTAAACGAAGAAGTGACGATGATTTCACTTTTTAGTTGGTTTAAAATTTGCTTGCAAACTGGCTACTCGTGAAACAACCCAGTCGCACACTTCAGTCTCGCATCCCAAATTGCTGATCGGACTGTAAACAATGGGCAACGCACGGAAAAAGGAAGTCTCGGCCTGGATATCAGCTCGCTACGCCGGAACCCCAGAAATATAGCTCCTTGCCCCCAGAGGCTAATCCGTCATCGGACCAATAGACGATGGGTTCCCAGAGGCTAAACAAGAAAACAGTGTTTTCTTGATAAAAGAACACTCACACTTTTCAGCTATTTAGCCTAGAGGGGACTTGACAGTGACTAAAATTAAGGAATTAAACAGCTGTAATATGTTTCAGTGTGTTTAAGGGTTCAACTAAAACGGTAGGGAACTTAAGACAACACCCGCATTGTTACCTGATGCTGGGATAAAGTCTAGCTTTACAAATGTTGTTAAGTTGGTTTATGATGTGCTTATGTGGTACATTTCACAAACTATTCATCAATTTACCTCAAACTAATACCTATTTTCTTTAGGGGTCCCCCTGGCAGGTTAATCCAGCCTTGATTAGAAGACTTTCATGACTATTCCATATATTATAAAACAATTCCCTAACATACACAGAAACTTGTTCATGACCACTGGGTATCACACATGTAGTAGTAACCCCTCAGTAGCATGCTGAATAAACTGCGTTGAGCTCCACTCACACACATGCGCGTTTGAAGGTTGACAACGTCAGTAAAAGAAAAGGAGGTGATGTGGCAGAGCAGGAGCAGATCGATAGGCTGATACTTACCCTGGATCTCTATTACAGGGGGGGCAAATACCACAGGGAGGGAGAGACGAGGGAGAAGGGGAGGCCGCGAAAAGGAAGCAAAATAAGAAGAGAGATAGAGGGGGGGGACAGAGAGAGAAAAAGGGTGGGAGAGAGAGCAGACATAGCAGAACTCATTGTTAAGGTTAGTACAAGGAAGCCATCACAAGACAGCCACGTTAACACAGGTTAGAGCAAAATAACCAAAAACCAAATCCAGAAATAATAACACCACCAAGCATCAGCACAGACGGGGCCGACCAGATACTGGCAAACGTACCAGGAAAGGAACCTGCACTGTTTCCCAGTCAGTTTTACCAAAATGCTTTATTTTGATTGTTTAATTAAATGTATGTATCACATTTCATGTGTTACTAATATTTCATTCAAAAAAACATTCTAAGGACATCATTTACACTCAGAGTCGCAGTCATATAACTGTCTTTAACAAAAGATGAATTACAAAAAAAATGTAATTTTGAAATTTGCTTTACAGACAGTCTTGCATTTATGCATCCATCTGCCCGGCAACTGAGCGGAAGCTGCTCCGGAAAGACAGCACTAATTATTGGTCGCTGCATCACTGAGTGAAGTGTTTCAGGACAAATGAGAAAGAGACCTGCAAAACACTTCAGCACCACAAGATGGCGGTCTAAACCTACCAACGATTGTGCCCTAGACCGGTGAATGACTCAATGTTCTGTGTGTGTGTGTGTGTGTGTGTGTAGGCACTGAATAAAAACAGTGTTTTTGAGTCTGTTTTCAGATGATCGCCATTACAAATCAGATCCAAACCATAAATCAACATTTGATCTAGTTTTAGCCAAAGGACTATAGTTGTTCATTTTACTATTTACTAGCAACAGTGATCAAAATGAACATGAGCTACACAGAAACACTGATACCTGTAGAATTGATGTCGTCTTTGTGACCTTTCAAAAACACTATTTGACCTCTACGATGTGACTTTTTTTGTCCGTGAAATGTGACGGAGCTCGACTGCTGACTGTTACCTTTACGAGCCTTCTTCTGTAGTTTCATGGTGTCAGACGACTTCTTCTTGATCTCGTGGCGTGACCTCTTGTACTCTGAAAACAGGACGAGCGGGGGGGGGTGCTTTAGTAACAGGGATGTAAAGCACTCCGTGTGAACTCGCATTATCTCACATTTCTAACATTAACTTGAATGGAAACGCATACCAGAAGCTGTGAAACCAAGAGCTCACTGATAAAGACTCAACACTGACTAGAGGAGAACACTGATCCTTATTGGTTACAGTCAGCATTGAACAATATCTTTGTGTCAATGAGGTATAGTAGATCTGAAACCAGTAAGCTTCATTTAAAAGCACGAGATGTCATAAACTATCAAAAATAAGCATTGTTTTTATGTGATCTGTAAATGTTAAATACATCTATCATCTTATCATCTAGTGTCATCAGTTTCATTTGGTTTGCCCATGTGATAGTGAACTGTCCGATGAACGAGTTAGCTGTCATGTCGCGCTTATGGCTCTTGGTTTGTTGCCTGCGCCGTGGAGATTATCGGTTTGTTGATTGGTTTGTCTGCAGTATTATGGAAAAACAACTGTCCCCAGTTTTCATAAAACTTGGTGGAAGGGCATAGCATGGGCGAAGTAAGCACCCTTTACTTTTTTTGAGCAGATCTGAATCACGGAGGCGGATACACGCATTATTTTTCTCTTCTTGGAAACGGCCTTGGCAGAGGTGTGCCATTTCTAGCTTGTGACAGGTCAGTGTGAACACATCCTGCATTGGTATATTGAATACTTGGCTAGTGCACCTTCCTGGTGGATTACTTACTGTAGATTACATGTAATGGCGATTGTTGAGACAATAACTTGTAAACCCTCTCTCATGCTGTAGTATTGGAAGGCTCGGCCTTCAAACTGGATTTCTCTCATTGTGTCACTGGCAACATGCGATGCTTTTTTGGTTCGAACATGTCACGAAGTATGACGCGACTAGTTCTTTAGAGTTTAGTTAAGCGATTGTTCCGAATAATTGACAGTTAAGGGATCTACTGGCCGATTATGCTTTTCTTCACAGTGATCAATAAGCCACAGCAGCTCGCAATGTTGGTAAACTTTCTTTTGAGGCTACTTCACGATGTGGGGCGAGAACTTAGTAATGCAGAGCTTTTCATGAATTATCATTATGTGTATGTACCTTTGGCATGATCCTTATCCAGCTGGTTGGCTGTCTTCTTCCAATCCTCAATCTTGTCCTGGAGAGGAGTGATCAGACTCTCCATCAAAGCACTGTGGGAGAGAGTTAAGAGGAAGGCACATCAAATAAATACACAGCTTAGACGCAACGCCAGCAACTACTGCTTTGTTTCATTCAAAATTCAATCCTAGGACAAATACTTTCATTGTGCGGCTGAAGAGAGACTGACTTTGCGTAAATAGTAGGGACCCCCATGTTCCAGCCACCAAGCCCCAATCAAATTCTGGAATGAGATCCTTACACATACTTCTCTTGACTTTTCTTATTTTAGTAACTGGAACACTGCCCCTCTCCTTTTAAAAACATGCATGCATATGTGATACAACTGTAAACAAATGTAGGATCAGTGGTACGTGTGCACATATACACAAACACAATAATGGCTTTTTAGCTTTCAGATTGACTCAGCATTCAAAGGGACCCCTGTCATTACCGTGGTCGTAGATCATCATTATCATCACCATCAATGTAATAGCTTGTGCCATGGAAAAGTCATAATACAAGCGTGGAGTATGAAGGAAAAGGCAAACGGTGGTTGAAAGCAGACTCTCTGTGAGGTTTCCAGAGTGGTCTGTGCTGTGTGCCAATGGTTGTATCCATTTACAGTCGCTCCAACATGTACAGACAAAGTAATGTTCTCTAATGGAATCCATGCAGCCGAGAAGAAAACTTCACCAAGTATTTATCGCAGCATAACATCAAACACGAGCACAAACACCCACAAGGTTTTGATTTCGAAAACCCCCCCCAATGGGCTACAGAGTAAGGTCTACGAAGGAAAGAAAAGGACAGAAAAAAGGTGAGAAGGAAAGGAAGCGAAGACATGTATCTTACTTGGTGAACTGGCGGAGTTTGGCCTCAATGCTGCGATGCCTCATGCACATCCTGGTCAGAGCCGAGCCGATGTCTCTGGTTGCCC